GGGTATTTTTTTCATGCCACTGACCTCTCTCAGTATGAGGATAGCTGGTATAGGACTAATTAAATTGCTGTTCATGTTTCATTAAGACACCCCTATCAAAGTAGCATTACAAGGAAACAAGTGTGTCATAAAACTGTGAATAAACTCCTGCCTCACCAACTATAAAATAAGTGACATTCATGAGTTTGGTGTAAGGGAAAAATTTTTAACCTTTCCCTTATCGGGTTCGTAGGATCTGTGAGAACTGAAAATAAATACTTTGAAAGCGATTATACAAATTTATAAAGTGAAATCTGTGAATAGATGCAGTAATAAAATATATAAAATATGCAAATATTTAAAATAAATAAGACACAGCGTTTATCTTCCAGCACACGTGGCTTTTTATTTTTATTAAAAGTACAGAATTTATAATAAAACCAGGGGAACTGGCAGCATTAGCAATGTTTGCTTTCCACTAGATGTTTTCAGCAACAGAGGCAAAAACCCTTGTAGTTTTCAATAATTCTGCAGAGGGGAAGCTGAAGTCTGTGTCCCTTGGTGGTGACCATCTAAATGTGTAGAGCCAGGACTCTGCCCATGGCACAGCACTGACAGGCTGTACAGGAAGCCTTGATGAGCTACTACATGGGCCACAGTTTGGCCGTGTCATGTCTACATTTTGGGGAAGAGAATGGGCTGTGTGGCTCAACCAAATCAAAAAAGAGCTGTGCTGGAGCCCAGGAGCTTCTGTGGTCTGGACACTTCTGTCATTGAAGCTGCTTGTATTGAGTCCGTATACGAATGGGAATATGCCTGAATCCTATCAACATATGCACTTATTGATAAAAATATATACATTTAATTCATACTCCTAAGCATTTTTAGCAAGATGGGTTTCCTTAAAGATGAGACAATACTGGTGGCTGCTGACTTTTCATAGAATTGTGCAATCATAAAGTTTGGAAAAGATTTCCAAGATCATCAAGTCCAACCTTTGTCCAAATACCACTATACCCACTAAATCATATTGTGGATTACCATGTCTACTCATGTTTTGAACACTTCCAGGGATGGTGACTCCACCACTTCCCTGGGGATCTTGTTCCAATGCTTAACCACTCTTTCACGGAAGAAATTTTTCCAAATATCCAACCTGAACCTCTCCTGGTGCATCTTGAGGCCATTTTCCCTTTTCCTATCACTAGTGACCTGGAAGAAGAGACCAACCCCCACCTCCTTTCAGGTTGTTATAGAGAACAACCCCAGCTCCTTCAGATGCTCCTTGTAGGACTGATGTTCCAGACCCTCCTTTTTGGGCAATAAAAAAGACAGAGGGAACAATGTTTGCTGTGCACAGCCTTTAGTTGCTCTCATGGAGGTTTTGAACACCCACAAAATTTATCTTCCTATCTTTGAATAGATACCGTGACTGATGCAGCCTGCTCTGGGCTTGTGAAGAACAAATTATGTTCTCTGCTCATTCTTGTGCAACTCATAACAGCCCAAACTTCATTGGCCTCAGTGTCAGTCCTGCAGGGCTGAGCTAATGCAGATATATCTTGAAGTTAAACTCTAGAAACGCCTTTCTGAGTGGATTTGGGGGGCTTTTGCCTCTGGTGCTCTTCAGCAACATGGTGTGTTAATGTTTCCATGTGATGGTGTCCACCTGCAGCAAACAGTGGGCTGAATCTGTGTGACTCAAGCACAAGCAGCTGAAGATACAGGGAAGGTGAATATGCCACCTCACAGTAGCACATGTGCATAATTAGCTCCTTGGCTGAGTTGTCTTATGCTTAGGTCTTCCATAATTTTTTAGGCTACCATATAAATTCTGACACAGGGATTCACAGTAGTAATGAACATGCAGTCATTCATCAGGTTCCAGCCTATAGACACAAGCTGAAAGACTGCAGGAGCTTATCTTGCAAACATGTCTTTAAAATATTTTTAATTTAAAATTTAACCCTAAGCACACAAGATCATTGGTCAAAACTCTGGGAGAAAGAGCACTGCTCAGAAACAGTTTGGATTAGCTGTTTTAGCTTGATTTTCTGATATGAAAGAGAGGAGAATGGTGGAGACCAGGAGAACAGTATAGATGAGGACTAGATAAGGAAAATTATATGCATGGGATAAATCTTCACAGCACTGCTGCTGAAAAAGAATGTGAGGGTGAATTACATTGTTGGATATGCCAAATAAGCCAAATCTCTGTAAAAATTCAAATTTTCGTTTCCTCTGCAATGTTTTGCATCAGTTGCACACCACTTGGATGCATTACTATTTTGAGAGAATTATTTTTTGGTAGTGAAAGTTGCAGTTGTTTTTTTATATGTAATTTGTGGTTTTCAACCCAGTATGCTTCATTCTCATGTTCTACAACCAGGGATAGCTGCTTGCCTATCACCTTTGCCTCACAGGCCAAGGAAATTGTTTCCATGGGTGAACATTAATATCAAAAAGTATTTTACATGGCATATAATTAAAGAAGTTACTCAGAACTTTGTTTTGAGTTCTGATTTCTTTTTTTTTTTTCTTCTCCATCCAGTAATACCATATTACTAATTCTCAAAACTTGAAATAGACAAATATTTTTTGAAAACTTGGCCTGAAAATGTAATTATAAGTAATGCAGAGTATTTAAGAAAAATTATCACCTGCCATGCTAATCTTTATTAGATTGTAGAAGTCTTCCATCTAATTTTAGTCAATTAAATTGTATTGTTGTCTAAAAGTGCAGACAGCCAAGGGCAGCCAAGGAATGTGGTTCTTCCTTCATTTATCTCATACAAGGCAGGGGAGATAAGATATAATATTTGTTCCAGACAAGTTAAGAAAAAGTAGTTGTGATTGCCATTACACATTAACTGTTTTGACTGGTGATGTAGAGGTGTTTCATGTACCCACAGTTTTAAGCTTTTTCATAAAATGGCATATCTGGCATTAGATGACAAGGAACAAGTAGCACAATTTCCATTGTGGCATGCAAAGAAAAAAAAAAAAAAAAGGTAGATCGGAAAATCATGGAATCATAGAATCATTTAGGTTGGAAAAGATCTTTAAGATCATGTCCAGCCATTACCCTCACACATTCAAATCCACTACCAAACCATGTCCCTAAAATGAAGAACATTACCGTAACCTGTGTCTGAACTACACAAGTTCGTAATCACCCACATTGAGTGCCTTTTCCTATAAATTAAATGTTGATCTGTGGCTACCTTGCACCTAAGACACAATTTGAAGGGTTATTTACACATCTGATATGCTCCATAATTAACTGTTTGTGCCTGATTTCAGTAAACAAGTAGTTATCCTAATGTCTTCATTAGTGTTTGACTATCTCATAGAAGTTCCCAGTGAAGGAATTCTGCTTCAGTTATTAAAGAG